AGGGGGAAGAATATACAGACTGGAGCACTGGGAAACATGGAGCTGGATCCCAGGGGGAAGGGGGAAGAATATACAGACTGGAGCACTGGGAAGCATGGAGCCGGATCCCGAGGGGAATATGAGGAGTGGAGAACTGGTAACACGGAGCTGGATCCCAGGGGAGGGGGAAATTACAAAATGGAGATCCGGGAAACATGCAGCCATGGGACAGAGCCACATAGCGCGTCTGTCCCAGACAGGTTCTTGGTCTCTCTGGCCTTGGCTCTGTTCCCAGGCGGATCCGGTCTGGGCTTTAACTCTCCCCAGTCCTCTGGCTCCTCTCTGGGCCTTGCAGCTCTCTGCTCCCTGGCTCTGCTCTGGGTTTCATGTCACTTCCTTTCCAGGCTTCTTCCACTCCAGGATTTCCATCTCCCCAGTAGGCTCTGCTCTGGGCTGTGCGTTCTGGCTCCGATCCACCCCCTTCAGTCCTGCTGGCTTTACCGTTCCCTGTAGCGAGTCCAGGCTGATACAGCTCCGGGCTTTGTGCCTCTCCACTGGCTCCAGCTCTGGGCTTTCTGTCCTTCCCCACTTCCTGCCCCCTCCCTGGATCCAGCTCCAGATTTTCTGTCCTGCCCCCACTTCCTTCCCCTCCAGCTCCGGGCTTTCTGTGTATCTGGCCCCGGGCTCTGTTCCTAGGCTCGGTCCAGCTCCGTGCTGTCTGCTCCGACTCCAGCTCCGGATTTCTCTCTCTCTCCAGCCCCTGACTCCACTCTGTCCTTCCCCTCCTATCCAACTCCGGGCTTTGAGTCTCCCCGGCCCCTGGCTCCGTTCCCAAGCCGGCTCCGGGTTTCCGCCCAGCCCCGCCCAGCGCGCCCAGCCTGGCCCCGGGGCACAGCAGGGAGCCGGTGCCCGAGGGGCGAAGGGACCTTCCCACCCCCAGCCTGGCACCCAGGTGGGCGTGCACGGGGGGGGGAGCAATGGAGGACATGGGGTGTGCTAGGGAGGGGGCAGTGGGGAATATGGGGGTGTAGGGTGGGGAGCAGTGGGGAGCAGGGGTGCAATGTGGAATATGGGGGTGTAGGGAGGGGTGTGTTGGGGCAGTGGGGAATATGGGGGTGTAGGGTGGGGGAGGGGTGCAGTGGGTGTGTTGGGGAGGGGTGCAGTGTGGAATATGGGGGTGTAAGGAGGGGGAGGGGTGCAGTGGGTGTGTTGGGGGGTGAAGTGGGAGGAAGTGGGGAGCAGGGGGCTGCAGGAGGGAGGGGGACCAAGTCCTCCCAAATATTTCCTGCTCCTGGAGAAGTCCTAACTTCTCTCCCATGTCCTTCCGTTCCCGCTCCCCTCTTTCTCAGTCCTGGACCTCGCCTGACCCCCCCCTCCCCCGACAGTAGGGGGTAGCCCATGACTCCTCCGTGGGGCTGAGAAGTCCCCTCCCCCCACGGCCCCCCCATGCTGCCCCGCTCGCTGCGCCATCTGCTGGAGGGGGCCCGGCTGGAGCTGGGGGAGGAGCAGGGGGTCACTCTGAGCGGGTACCGGAGCTGGTCCCCCGACCCCCCGCAGCCACAGGTGAGGCAGGATGGGGAGGGGCAGGTGAGATGGGGCTGGGGGGGTGTGGGGAGGGAGTATGTGAGGGGGGAGCTGGGGGGCACCGGGGGAGGGGTCGCAGGGAGGTGTGCGCTGAGGGGGACATGGGGGAAGGGGTGGCTGACCCGTGGGGTTGTGTTGTGGGGGTGGCGTGGGGTGGTCAGCTCGGGCGTTGCTGGCAGCAGTTGGGGGTGTGGGGTTAGAGGGGATGTGGGGTCACGCCCTTGTGTGTGGTTGGGGGAGGAGGTTCTGTGTGGTGTTGGGTCACGCAGGTGTGAAGGGGGGGTGTTGTGGGGTCACACCATTGTGGGTGCATGTGGTACAAGGTGGGGGGCTGTGGAGCTGTGTGTTGTCCGGTATGTGTGGTGGGGTCACACCCATGAGAGTTTGTGGAGGGGCGTGTTGTACTGTCACACCCTTTGTGTATGTGGTACATGGTGTGTGTGTGTGTGTGTGTAGCCGTGTGTTGTCGGGTGTGTGTTGTGAAGTCACACCTCTGTGGGTTTGTGGAGCCGTGTGTTCTCGGGTATGTGTGGTGGGGTCACACAGTTGCGTGTGAAGCATTGTCATGGGGAGGGGGTAAATCTGTTGGTAATTGAGGTGTGTGGTTGTGTTGGCTTTGCTGGTAGTTATGCAGCTCTGTCAGGGTGTGGTTGTGTGCATGGGTGGGTGTGGAGTGGTGGGGTGTTTGGGGGCTGTGTGTGCATGTGCTTGGGGGGTGTCTGTGTTGTGGGCTATTTGTGAGGGGTGAGTGACTGGGGGGGCTGGGGCTGTGGTGCGGGGCAGTGTGGGGCTTGGGTGTCAGTGGGCCCTGAGATGTCTCTTCACTTCCTGTCCCAAATTCCCCTTGGTCCCCAGCTGCCCTGCCGCTCCCTGGGGTCATAGGGCTCAGGCGAGCGCCCCCTCCCGAGGACACACCCAGTCCCTGTGCTGGGGGGGCAGGGCAGGTAACCTGGCAGCTGCTGGGTTTGGCGGGGCAGGTTTGGGGAAGTGCCTGGGGGGGCAGGGCGGGAGGGGGTGGGGCTGGAGCAGACAGAGAAGGCGGAAGCGGCAGGGGGAGGGAGACCGAAAGAGAGAAACAGGGACAGACAGACAGACGGGGAGGAGGGGAGCGGGGACAGACAGACAGACGGGGGAGGAGTGTAGGGAGAACAGGACAGACAGACAGACGGGGGAGGGGAGTGGGGACAGACAGACAGACGGGGGAGGAGGGGTTGGGGTGTGTGTGACCGGGGAGGCGGGAAGGGTGTCTGTCTGTCTGTCTATCTGCCCTGGCCTGCGTGTTTGGGAGGTTCACTGGGTCCCGCTGCAGCCCTCCACCCCTTCCCTACTTTCTGTGCCCCTGAACCCCCGCTGTGCCCCCCAACTTTCCCACCCTGCCCCCCAGGCCTACGCACCCCAAACTCCTCTGCCCGGGTCCACAGGCCCAGGCCTGTCCCATAGGGCTGTGGGGGGGCTCAGCTGGGCGATTCCCTCCCCCCCACGTCCCACCCCAGTGAGAGTCGTGCCCCCAGGTGGGGCTGAGCGGGACCCAGTGAACCTCTTCAACGTACACGCACCTTGGGGTGGGGGCGGTGACGGCCATCTGTCTGTCCCCCCCACGTACCCAGATGCCCCCCAGAGTGCTCCCTCTGCCTGAGGGGAGGGGGCAGTTCCTGGGGGGGCTGGCGGGGGCCACGCCCCAGTAGGCAGCAGGAGGGGGTCTCTGTCGGGGGGGTGGGGCTGATGAAGGTTTTCCTGCGTCTGGGGGCGTGCCTGGGGCCTGGAGGTCAGGAGGGAGGGGGGCTGTCCCGGACACGGTGGTACTGTCTGCCTGTCAAGGTGAGTGAGTGTGTGTGTGTGGGGGAGATTGGGGGGGGGG